ATTCCATGAGGCTGAAAATGTTAGTGTTTTATTAAATAAACATTTCTCAGCGATAGAAGGTGTTTAATGTTTTATTAAGTGTCATTTATTTATCCATAAACCTGGTTTTGGGTTTAAATAAAAGCTTTTTCATTCTTATAATAAAATGCATATAAAAAATTATGAAATCGAACTCGAAGGTTATATATCTTTCAATAAAAAGAAAACATTCGACCTCACAGGGATTCGATCTAGCGGTCTTGTAGTGATTGCAGTGCCCCTGGTGGTAACATTTGTCTCTAGTTGATTCTAGCAACGAGCGAAGATAGGAAGTCGAAAGACCAGTTAATCTACCGACTCTGACTACGTCTAGCATGGCGAGCAGAAGACCGGTTTAAACTTCATTTTTTTGTGTTTTTAGTTAAAATTATGATCTATTTTATTAAAATAATGATTATTTAAGCATTTAAAAATAATATTGTAAACAAACAATTTTAATCCAGAAATTATTTAATTATTCAACTTTTTAGCAAGTGGTGTGAAGTGCCTATACAATTGACATATATTTGCATTCATAATAGCTTATCTTCAGGTAGGTTTGTTCTTCCACGGCATCTTCTACCATCAACAGCGTAATACTTTTGTAAATTTTCTAAAAATTAATTTTCCGAACTGCTTTCGAATTTACATAAGCCGTTACTTCTATCGACAAAAGTATGAGGTAGTCCTATCGTCCGATCGTGCGGTAGGAGAGACCACGCTAATTAAAATTAATTATTTAGTGTTATTAAACATCCTATAAATGCTTTAAAATAGATTAATTTGTTTATTTACCTTCGCTGGTAACCCTCGATGTTAAATGTATCCGCAATTTTTTCAACAAATTTCCTGTGAATCAATGTGCGACGTTCACTGCGTCGCGCATTGACTCACGGGATTTGGTAAACGTGCGGGGCAAGGTTAATCAAGGCATATAATAGACAGGTTGAGGCCGAAGTCTTAAATGCGAGAACGTGTACGTCGGACGTTCGGCGCCGCTTTCCTGTAAGCCTAGAAGTTTGACAATGGTGTTTCGAATGTTGAGCATGATTCCACTGACTTTCATTCATTCATTCATTTATTGTTGTACAAATATAGTACAGACCGGCCTCGCATCGAGCATTACCGGTTATACACATTAGATATTACAGTACTCAAGATAAAATTTTGTTACGTGTACAGAAATGATGAAAGCAAATACATATAATAGAAGAAAATAAGTCAATAAATACGTAAAATAAGATAAAAACAGATAAATAAAGAAACAATGCACTTAACTATCCAAACTGACTACCCAAACACCATTGTCAAACTTCTAGCCTTACAGAAAAGCGGCGCCGAACGTCCGAATTACACGTTTTCGCGTTTAAAACTTCGGCCTAAACCTGGCTAATAATTAACTTATTATATGCCTTGTAATTCATTTGTAATGAGAATTTATTGTTAATTTAAATCGTCGCTAGGGCGTCCCTAGTGGGCGATTTAGGCATACCGTTACAACTTACAAATATACAAATATGCAACCAATGGCTTATATATATATATATTCAACATTTACTGGAGCTCTGAGATATATTCAGTAATATCCGGTAGAGACCCCTTTTTTGTTGGCAGCTTGCCAGTATTCATTTGTATCTACAAACACCTCACAATCTCTGTTCCTGTGGTGCGCTCGAATCTTTGGACGTTCTGTACTTCACAACTTGGGTTTTCTGTGTATCTCTGGCAATCTTCAGCATCCTAACACCTGCTCTACAGGATTCCTAAGAAACTCCTTGCTCCTTCGAATCCTTCGTGGCAACGCTATGAATAATGTTCATAGTGTCATGTAGTACAGATTTTCGCGTTGCCATTATCCGCGAGATACACTTTCAGTTCATCCAGTATGGTAAACGCAGCAAGCCTAAGTTCAAACAGAGAGGTCCCTCTGTCACAAGCCATGTTAGCAAAAGAATGGTGTCCTGTTCACTAGGCTAGGCAAAACAAATAGAACACATACACTCACCAAGAAGTTGTTCCTTGTTCTGTTTCACCAGTTTGGTGCAAGTATCCATAAATGAGACACTGAGCACACAAATTTTTCGATGCAGCTAATTATACACGAAGGAGCAAGGAGTTTCTTAGGAATCCTGTAGAGGCAGGTGTTAGGATGCTGAAGAATGCCAGAGATACACAGAAAACCCAAGTTGTGAAGTACAGAACGTCCAAAGATGCAAGCACACCACAAGAACAGAGGACGGCTGTCAGTAAGGGTGAGTGCCGTAACAGGTGGAACCAAACTTGCTTCACTAGTGAAAATACTAGCTCCTTTCACTGTTTGCAACAAGTACAAAGCAAGACACCTGCTTAGCACGGGCAATCGGTGAGAGAAGGTTGGGTCGATTCGTTTGGTAACGAGGACCCTCCAAATTACAAAAAGTAGACAAACGGTGTCCAGCTTCCACACATTCTTCAGGTTCGAAATTCTAACCATGGATAATAATCCTCTCCGTTGGAAAGCTACATTCGTATATCTTGTATACTGGCCACAATCAAGATTCAACAGTTATTGGATATCTCCTGAAACGGACGAATATAAAGCACAAATAAAAACGATAATATACCGGCTTGACACGGACGAATATGAACCACAAACAGAACCGCATCCAAATATAAACGAAGAATTCGCAGATTTTGAATACAATGGATCTGAGGTGTTTGTTGATAGAGATGAATATTGGCAAGACCCTGAATATTTTGGATCTGAGGTGTATGGTGATACAAATGAATGTTGGCAGTATTGGCAGGCTGCCACCAAAGGAATGAATCTATACCGCGATTTAATCAATATATGTCGGAAACAGTAAATGTTGAATGTCTATGTATATATAACCAATTGTTCGCGTATTTGTATACAGTATCTGTAAGTTGTAACGGTATGCCTAAAACGCCCACTAGGGGCGCCCCAGAGATGAGTTTAAGTTAACAATAATTTATTTTTTTTTCTAATAAGAATTTATTATTGATATACATTTGTTATTTATACCATAGAATGGTATAAATAATTATTATATGCCTTGAATAACCTTGCACCGCACGTTTACAACATCTTGTGACATGAGTCGACAATATAATCTATATATATATATAAATGAATGTATGTCCTTCATGCGTTACCACACCGTTTATCCGATTGCCATGACACTTTGGGAAGTTGTTTAATATACTCCCGCGAAGGTTTCTGGCATAGTACGACTGCCATGAAGCTTTGGGAAGTTTTTTAATACACTCCCGCGAAGGTTTCTGGCATAGTACATTTATCCTACGATAAATGGCGTGAGTGTATACGAGCATCATGAGTTCGATCGATTTCAAATTGTGAAGACCATTTTACCTTTCCAAAAAATATCTATATATATGCATTTGTGAACTGTTATTTACGATATTTGTAATAATTTTTGTTTAATCACTTTATTTAAACTTTTTTTTGCTAATTATGTATTCGCTCGAACTTTGTTAAAACCTTAACTGTATCCCGAACAACAACCGAAGTTGTAGAAAGAAATTCACCTATTTTACCGATCTAGGACTCCCTTTTTTCCAAATATTAATATCGACTCAAAATAATTTAAAAAGACAAATTACAATAAAACGGTTTATTATCCAACTATCAGAAATTTCACAACATGCCAAGGAAGAGAGGAAGGAGCAATTAAATAATTAAAATTATNTACCCTGCACTGAGGTGATGTACTGTATGTAATAAACAAGGGAGCAAGCTGAATCCCAACAGGAGCTCAGTACTTCATATATACTAATATATTCTAATGATACAGTAGAGCGTCAATTTTCCGAATCAATTGGGGACTGGGGTTGTCTGGATAACTGATTTACGTATGAAGAA